GGCGTTTTTGAGATGGAATGGTCAGTGTTGACGAGCTGTTCTATTATCGCACTCCCTATACAGCCACTGTTGCCCTTTCACAGCCATGCGAGATAGTGCTCTCGAATCCTTTTGAACAGTAAACGCATCGAACGACTAGTGCACTACTTCGCTCCACAGCGACAGGTGAACTGATATATGCACATAGAAAAGGCCAGATGCGTGATCTCGTCCTTAAGGCTTCTGCAGATTAATGGACGACCGGAGAACCTTACTCTTAGCGTTCCTGCGAAGAATGTTCTTTTCAAAGATGCTGAAATTCTCCTCTTGAGTTTTTTTTTTTATTTACAGCTTGATTCCACACTGTACTTTTGGTACAAGTATGGAATTTTCAGCATGGATATCGGTAGCCCAAATTTCGCAGGCCAACCAAAGATATCATGTGTGCGCCGGCGTGGGCTCGAACCCCGGACCATGTGCATGGTCAGCGAGAGTCCTAACCACTGTGCCACCGACGCGGATATCGCAAGCTAAGTCCCCCTCGAAATCCAGATTCATGTAAAGTATCTTTTTCGAGAGAAGTGAAGTTTCGTTCTTCTGGACATTTGGTTTGATATTCTTGTCAATGAATTTTGGTGGGTGCCCATTCCGGATGAAGTTTTCTTTCAGAGGATCCATTCCTGCTTCCAGGTCGTCAGGACCACGCCTCCGCTAATAGGAACCCAACTGCAGAAACTTGTTAGTTGACCGTTCCAAGTGGGTTTTCTATGGATTGACCTTCTTGAGGTTTCACTGTCTCGCCATCATTATCTTCTACTGAGTCGCCGTATAGAACCATTTCTTCCCTTGTCGTTTCTTCTTTACCAAGTTTCCTCAAATAACGCTTTCAAAAGTTTTCTCCCCACGCAGGTTTCTTTAGCGATGTCTCTTGGTGTCTCTATCCTTTAACTGAGTGCTGTTGTGAAGGTGCCATTCGTAGTTTCGTCCTTCAGTTTCTTAGTGTTAACCTAGAGCTGTTGTCTATCCCGAATACATTGAAGGCAACCCAATTGACCTTAAACAGAAGACAAGGGTCAGGCAACAGATCGTTTATTGAGAAAATCAAGAGATATTTATAGATTTTTATCTACATTATTATTCGTTATTTTAGCGGAAAAAACAACGCCTTCTGATTGGTTCTTCTTGTTGAAGGTTATTCTGTACTGTTTGTGACCGTTGCCTACAAAGTTATCTATATATCTGCGAATCGTATTTGCACACACTTAGTCTGCTGTGATTGGCTGTCGAGTTCCTCAAGGTTAGGCTTTGTTCTTGTTTTTTCTCGTGACCCCGGTTTGGGACATAAACAAAGACGTAAATTGTTGTTTGCAATTTTGGCTTGCAGACAGCTCTCACCACACTCATCCCCCCGTCAAATAGTTTAGACTGAAGTCGGCTTGATCTTCTTGGTGTTGGTGTCATCGTTGGCTTGTCTCGCTGTATGCATTTCTGGAGCTCGCTGACGTTCACTCGCTTCTCTTTGTTCGCATTTTTGATGGTATATTCGTGACACTGTCTCGCGTTGACCGTCGTCGTCGTTTCATGCGTGAACGCACGATGTGCTTGCAGAATCAGTGGAAGCTCTGTCTCCCAGTTACCACCCTTTGTGGCCAGCCACTTTTTCAGGGTGTGGTTGAAGGCATCCAAATTGACCTTAAAGTTTCCTAATACTGTTTTATGAATGGCACAGCGGTTAGCACTCTCACCGACCATGCACATAGTTCGGGGTTTGATCTCCTGCCAACGATTACCATACACCGAATACTCTGATGTATATTGGAAAGCTCAATTATTGTATACTGTATATTTGTGAACATATCTACAATGGTTGGGGTTGCGCTATTTCACGAATTGGTAGAAGTTAGAATTCATGAGCCATTGAATCGGGTCCCAGTGGCTGAATGGTATATGAGCTTGCCTTGTACCCGGAAGATCCTGGATTCGAATCCCAGTGGGTGCGTACTCTCGATGATTCCCAAACTGGGATGAAACAGCAGCTGTCCAGTACTCCCTGGTTTTCAATGGTTCTCTAACTGATATCAATCCGTGATCAACTCGTAAAAACACAACTCACCCTTACAAACCAAACTATAGAACATTAGCTCCGTTAATACAACCCCATACACCGAATAATCTGAAGTATATTGGAAGGCTCAATTATTGTATACTGTATATTTGTGAACATATTTATAATGCTATATATAAATCATTGCGAACACATTGTGAACACATTTATAATGTCACGTATCAGTCATTGTACATAATTATTCCGTTTCTTGACGCTTTCCACATATTGGATTTCAAATCTTTGACAAATAACAGCCAGTATCACGAGCGATTCCTAAATTGATCAGAGGAAAAACAATCACAATTGTGAGTATTGGATACTAATCATCAAGTGTATGAAAATGATCTATTCCTAATGTTAAGGAGTTAATTACAGTGGGCTTCTGACACCAGCCTTTAGCATATATGACCGTAGTTGTTCTCTACGAATAGTAATGAAATATACTAGCCCATTGGAAAACTGAAAATCCAAAATAATCCCGAGTGAGTACAATGAGATCAGAAAGTGATCGATGAACATGTTTGTACTTCAAACAGTGAAGTGTCAATTTACGACTTTTTTCGAAGCATGCGCAAACTCACATTTCACCTCTCCGTAATTCACTACTCGTCACCTTTTTTATAATAGTCATTCGATGGTTAGGGGAACCCACACATATTGGACAGAATTCATGTGTGGTGAATTTAGTTTTCAGAGGAAGCCAACTGGTGTTTTTCGATCAGACTGAGAGATTTTCCCAGTTGTGTTGGTTCTCGCCGATTCATCATGAAGTTGGAAATTATTCTCACTCATTGCAGAATCACCACACATTGTTAAGATTAGATGCGAACGAATCTTCTCAAATTATTGCTGGCAATAACTACCACTTCATGAAACACGGAATATGACAAATCGCGAATTCACCGCACTCAAATCACATTCTGTCTTTCGATTCACTATTCTGTATAAAACTGAATCAGCCCTCTGACATCATCAAGCATGATACCATCACATGTAATCTTCTGTTCCACTGGACGGATATTGGGAAAACAGGAAAAAAGAGATAGATTCTGTCAAACACATTATCACCGCAGTCGGAAGAAAACGTTTAACTGCCTTAAGTTAGTCAAGTTAACTATGTTTACGCAAAAGTCTTGCTTGGAATCACACCATGAATATGTACACATGATCATTATCACTCACGATTCAAAATACTCCAAGACACGGTTCACAACTTAGTGCTTCGTATTTTGTGGCACCTATATGTCGACTGGTATAAGTGCGCTTGGCGAAAGACTGTCCAGACATCACGAGTGACGATACAAGTTACTCGGACATATGATGTCATGTGCAATTTGGAGTAAATTTCGGTTTTCCGACAGAACGCTGAAACACTCCTCGTGGCTGGGATGCAAACAAAATATGTCAACTTAATGAAGCCTTCTGAGGCCTCTGATGTCAAACGATGTACACAGAATCCTCCAATACAACATCCTGACACTATTATTACGCTCCCACTTCTGTGGAGAGAATGTAGACAGTGAGTGAAGAAACATGTCACAGGTTCTTCGTCCTAAATTCTTCGTAGGTCTTACACAACCATAATTCCTACCAGTCAAACAGATGATTGAGGTGACGTAGAAACTAGTGTGGTTTAAAGCTCACTTCAGCAACATTGTCTCATTCATTTCTCGCCGAAGTACTAGTCCAGTTCACATTCTACCTGTGGTTCGCCAATCAAACTGATAGGTGGATTCGTTTGTAGATTCCATAAGGAGGGTGATAAGTAATCTGGCCAACAAAACGACCGAATCTCCTTCACTATCCCACAGATTTTAACAGATTTTATGTCTTTTTTGGGGTGGTTGAGCGACACAATCGGTAGCTTATCTCTTTCTATCTGTATGGCAGAAAGGCGTTTGAGGTACAAGAATAGTTCCTGACACACAATGACAGTCAAAAGCCATGGACACACGATTGATCGTGTAGACGGGAGAATATAGTATATACGGTCACCAAAGTTAATCAGTAGGATGTCCACAAGCACAAAGAACATCTGAAACCTGGTCATTCGTTTGTAATAATTCACCATTGAAAATTCCTAGGAACGGAAAGCGCTGAAATATTTCAAACATACCGATTCATTTTGAGTATTACGGCCATCGTGGAGAAGAACGCGACCAAACACAATCCACCGAATATGTAGATTGCAATATTGAGCCAGTATTTGCTGCCGTGAACCAGAGTGTGTATTGTTTTCAAGGCGTCTGCATCCGCGCTAACATCCTGGAAAATGAGATCGGTGAAAATAATAGCTGGTGATGGTTGCTGAATTTAAACTAGTGGATACCACGAACTAAGATGAACTATCATGATTGTGTAACTGGATGGATTTTTCAGTTCTTCACTACAGCTTTTCATCCATGTATTCACTCACTCTCACGTCCATCGTTTTCCAAACAACTGGTGGCACATGTTGTGGAAGAGAAGGTGATTTCCCCACTTAGGTTCTTTCTAAATCCTTTCACACAATGACATTTACTGTAGATCAGTGGGATAGTTAGTGATTGCAAGCTTTCTACATTGGTTTTCGTGCAACTCCCAATCAACCATCGCACGAAAGCATAGATGCTGAACGAATCACGACCTAACGAGAACACCCACATGGATATCGCCAGTTCGAAATATTTTTCAAATAGGACACCTTATCAAAATCTCTTGCTACATTTTTGGTACATCTTTGAATGTGTTACCTTCACAAAGACACCAACGTCTTCTCTTTACTGGGTGTCCCAAAGGAGTGATACTAAATGTATGAGTATCATAAAAGGAACTACAAATTCTAATTAACGCTTATCATTCTCATTCTTTTTGCATACTTGTTTCACTTGAGCCTCGATTTAAGCTAATTATGAAACAGTTAAATAAGGCTTACCATTACAATTCTCACAATCGGAAAGAACAGGTTTCCAGCCATATTTTGATATGGTATGCTTCTGAAAGAGGTAAATAAATGGAGAGGTTAATTGGCCATTTCGTTTTTGGGGTTTTTTGTTACAAAGCTCTGCGTGATACTAACTCTATATTCGAGCATGATACTAACTCGAGTAAAGCCATTCTAGAAAAATAGGTGACACACTATATCACATTATGTATTTCTCTAGCCGATATCAGGCCGTCCTCCTGAAGAATTAATATGTCTACTCGGGTACTGCAAAAATCTTTGTATCAAATGGAAAACCTAAAAGTTCTCATGCGCTGAAAATACATCTAAGGAAGGAAATCACTTCATTCTAAATTAACAGCCGACGTACTTAGAAACTCTCAGCTGTACTACACTGTAATCGCAACTGATCTAACAATTATTTCAGAGAACAAACACTACTGAACACACGGCGTCTGATTCTACACTTCGGCTACCTCATTGAAAAACGCATCGACTCAGTTGAATCTGGACTCAATAACTGGAAGCCGTGTACTCTATCATTCACTGGTTCAATCGTGTAAATGCACAAACGCAATCAAGGACTCCTTCGTCACTTCTGAGTATGATTTTCACAGATTTGTAAAATATTCGACCTTATTAACAGGATGTATGCACAACTCAAGCGAACAGTGTAACTACTGTCTTATTCGCTAATTAGACGCACATCTTCCCACTACATGCGAATGTGCAAGAATATTCTGAAAAATAGAAAAAGCACAAACCAATGACTTACTTCAGACTTGGATTGTCTATGTAGTAATTTAACTGCATAACTTGGTGAGCGCCCAACGTGATTCCCGTCACCTGTAGTTTTAACCGAAGTTCATGAATATACAAGTTCTTAATATTTGGTTAGTGTATGTCTGAAAGACTAAGTTGTACACAATCGTGGAAAACATTTAGTTCCAAAGCATTCCCAGTAGTTGTATCATCTATACGAAAAATCTCTGTATGGTGCTGTTGATGAGGAAAGTTACGACAATAAATTGAACAATCAGTTGTCGGTGTGAAGAGTGACTTACACAACGCATTCGAATGCTTATTTAAGTCATCTGAAGCTAGAAACCAACTCACTTGCATATACATATTCTCGGACCAGTGAAATGGAAGGTGTCAAGACACAACCTCCGTGACACATTCGATTTCGTTGATTCAATTAACAATGTCAACCTGTTGAATATGAAGACGATCTCCTTGCACATCATCTCTATTTTCACTAGCGTCCCACTAACAGAAACCACAGGTTCCCTTTTGTGACTTCATTCATTCAATCCAATAGCGTCGGTGTTGGGATACTGATCCATTACCTAAAAGAGCTACTACTACTACGATGCACCTCCAACGAATACCTTAGTTTCAACAACGAAATATACAATCAGGCAGAAGGAGTAGCAGTGGGTTCTCATCTAGGATCCTCCTGCAAGAAACTGCTCAACGAGCACATGAAAGACAAGCTGTCACATTGGTCCACTTCAACATGCATATGCAAGTTTACTTGCTCATGTGGAGCCGAATATACGTTTCACGCTAATGTCACATAGGACACAAATGGAATTCTCCTCACGATAGCGCCAAATGCGAACAATTCATGCACATTCTGCCACACCCTTATGTCCGCTGGCTGATACTCACAGAGAGTTGATATTGTCACTGAGAACAGCTATTTCGCAAATAACAACTCCAGCCGAACGTGATTCGACTGAGTGGAGGAACGTATTTGTGAGTTCTGCGTGTTTCAAACACGAGCAACAATGACTAGCGACATCTAGTCATAGGATCTTGTTAGTTAACGTGAACGTGTCAGAAGTGGCCAGCTCGAATTCTAATTTAGCGATATACCGACCACCAAACTCACAACCACCACCTTCAATACATTGTAACAAACCTTCCCACTTACAGGATCGACCAGCATATATGTTCTGTCCAGGTTGTAATCCGGTTCTGGAATGCCACGAAATCGATTGCGAATGCTGTGGTCGACATCGATGAAGTGTCCTTGTGAGCCGTAAATTGGTAGATAGTTGGTGTCTTTTAAACAGGGAGATAATGCCACCAAACCTTTAGGAGCACACTTCGGTTCGTAACTCCTACCTTGACAAAACTCCTGTGGTGATGGATAAACACTGTTGTCCATTTTATCTTCCGAGGCCGGTTCGAACAGTAATACCTGTGAAAATTATTTGAGGAGAAGTGAGATTTATTAGGAGTGTGAAAATAATTTTCATCGTGCTGATGTCAGTGACATGTGAAGTCCTAACTTTTGAGCACCGAGGTGTCCCGAGTTATCGTCAACCGCGATTATTCATTGGCTCAATTCTACACTCCAAACAACTCAATATGCATGCAAAATCAACTTTGAGGCCTAGTGAACACTACGCTAAGTATGTGTTTGAGTAAATGTGATCTGCGGTATTTCGATTGACATATGTAATATGTCAATGATTGTTGGGTCACATTCTCCACATTCTGCAAACAGATCAATGCAGTAGAAATAGCAATCGAACATAGAATTTGATTCAAGTGACTGAAGATTACCTGATCTCTAATAAATGACCAGGTAATATATTGACCTCTACGAATTTGTGAATATGAGGAAGTATGTTTAGAGAACACTTTACCGGGTGGAATGTTTATCCCGACAACCTACTGTATTTATGAGTCCTGAGAATATCCACTCCACAAGACAATGGGGACTTCTACTCTCGCTGGAAATTACTGGAATATGACGTCCTCCCTATAGCTACCCACTGAAACCTATCAAGTGATACAATACATTTAAGTGGTCGACTCTCAGCCTTCTTTCAGATTAACTGTCGCTATACTCACCATATATTAACAAAACCCTCATTGTGCAGCAAACAAGTGAAAGCCATTAAAGAAAAGGTGGTTCTGTAATAGTAGTTGTTGTTTAGTTCATGTACCCATTGACAGATGTTTGAGAGAATGAGTATGTTTACATGCCACCCCAATTCTCAGTTTACCAATACTCCTACGTGGGGTTTCATATGTCGCTTTCTTGTATGGCAAAACTCCGGGCGCCTTACATTCTTTCTTACTAGTGTTATGGACGGGACTACAAAGGACACATCTATTACGGGCATATGGGAAAATTTGGAGACATTATGCAACAACTGTGAAGAAACCTGCCCAATCAGACACTGGAATTCTGTAGAGGTGATGTTCAGCAAAACCCCATTTTCGCCGACTTTGAAAAGACTCTCGACAGGTTTCACTGTGAAGTAATTTGTAAACTACTTCAACACTGTGGAATGCAATGACACAAAAATTTACAAACCAGGTTCAGCAGCTAAACGATGGTGCTGTATGTCAAGTGATTCAGAGGTGAATGCTCAGTGAAGTCGCTGAAGTGAAGACAGGAGTAAGACAAAGCCAATGCATGAGATACTGTAGATGACCGTATTATTACTATTATTTCCTTGAGTTCCAAGTGGGTTACAGAGCTTCAACAGAACATCGCGATTCCTCCATGTTTCCTGCGACCCTCTTTAGTTGGCTTCACGGTTGTTCAAAAGCTCTCAACTCCTCCTCACACGATCTCATCCACTTCACCGTAGGACACACGTTGAAGTCGGTGTTCCACATTCTGGTTGAACCAGACGGCTTGGCTCTCCATGTCACTCAAAGCTCATTTCGATGTGCATCCGGTGCGTCTCTACTTTCGCCTGCCATAGGTTCTTGGTTGGTTCGTTCACGGAGTTCCTTGTTACCAATCTTCGCCGTTCATGTGATTATCAGTATGGAGTGAAGTCAGCTTTTGATCAAAGTCTGTAGCCTGTGGAAAGTCTTTTGGTGGCGCGCCAGCCAAGTCAGTGAGTCACACATACATGCATATATGTGTGTACACATATATATGGGAAGAGAGGGATAGACCCGATTACTCCCTGAGAATAGTTGGAAAATGAAGATCTCCTAAACGCTGTTCACTGGAACACATTAAGTGATAGAAAATAGTGAAGTGATCGATCGTCAACGTGCTTGCAGACCGTATGTTGCTAGACTCAACGTATATCAACGGAATGCTCATCATGCGACGGAAGAATGAAAACCAGTACCAAAAAGGTGGCTCTGCAATGGTTGTCGTCTAGTCAATGAATCCAGTGAAATATTTTTGAGAGAATGAGAGTATAATGAGTATCGGCTTTAATCGCACTCATGAAAGACTGGTAGCAGTGTGGCGTACTTGGTGGAGGCAAGAAAATAAATGAAATCAGCATTCAAGTTCCACCGGCTCATTCAGGCTACTCAAGTACATTTCACATACAGCACTATCACCCATCTAAAAGTAACCGATGAACACTCTTCGTATTCATCAAACCAGTGAATTGATGGTTAGTGGTGTTAACCCTTCAAGGGCTCAGTCATGCTTGAGGTCGAAAGGGAGCATACACATATCTAGAACTAGATCAGTATAGTCTCAGTGGTATCTGATGAAAACTACATACATACATATTAGTATATATATGTATATCTGTATACGTGAAGTGAAAGTATTTTGTCGTAATGACCCCATATAACCTCGCGTGAAATACCTTCCTCGTTTCAAAGATTTCATAAATGGTGTTTTGAAATGAGACACTAAGAAACTGTAGAGAAATTTAATCTCCATATCGTAGTACGACTAATAAATAAGGAAGAATGATGTCTAGCACCAATATCATGAAATAAAGTAACATCTATGCTCCTCAATTATGAAGAAATCAACTAGTCCTCTCACCTTTAATGCAGGATAAGCGGGGTGGGGTACTTCTTTCGTAGCCTCCATCATTACAGAACGACAAACGCCATGGGCAAATATATATCTTCGCGAACCGACAGTGAGTCCTGGCCCCAAGGAAAATCCATCTGTGAGGAGAACAAAATACCATCTTGAGCTGGAGTCACAGAAATAAGACGTGTTTACAATATCAACATGTCAGAGTAACTTGATTTCCAATTTGTGATTCACATTCATTAGTTCATTATATTACCAAAACAATAGATGTTATTTATCTATTTTATTTGCTTACCACTCCCATTGATATAGTTCGCATATTCGCTTTTCCATACATTTAAAACACTGCAAAAGAAATGAAAAGAAGAAATTCAATTTGTGTTTCACGATTACTAGCAACACATACGCCCACACACACACACACACAAAACACGGACCGGGAAACGCAAAGAATTCAGAGTATTCTTCGGAGGATAATGCTGCTTCGATGTTGCGTGTCAGTGATCAAAGTGGTCCGATATGATTACACTCAACTACAGTCTGCACACTCCGTTTTCCCGATGAACACAAGTGGTGTCCTTCGTGTCAAAGATCGGTTTCGAGTTTCCACCGGTCGAAAAGCAGACACTTATTACATAACGGAGACGCGCTTATTTACTCATCAACCTCCTATCTCACACCAAGTGTCATCCAGGTCTTTTCTTTCATAACGCCTCTCCTATTTTCGAATTCTGCTTGAGACGTGAAATTCCCACAGGTGGTTTCCCTATCACTCTCTTCAAATTCCACCCTCCAGCACAAAGAATACTGCACCTAGTCCTCCACAACTGACCACAGTGTGCTTATACTGCATGACTGTGACTATTAAGAATACACATATATTGTACGCTGCAAGTTATCTGGAGAGGTAAGAGGTGACGTTGATGATGATGATATAGAAACGGTGAATGCTGTCGACAGAGAGATAATAGATATGGAAATAGAGAGCAACAAAAGCCAAGCATAAGATTAATGAAAATTATGAGTACGAACTGAGTTGAATGCAAATCTATCCTTGTTGAACTTCTAGTTTCTTCCCTCTAATGCACTCCTTTATTCTAATTAGCTATTCCATCTGCTCTCCCTGTTATCGGTCGGTGTAATCATGAGGTGATTTGTTCGCCTCATGCAAGAAGAAGAGCAGTCACTCTGTTCGTCGAACATCTTGAAAGTCTTTATGCTTTTAGTCACCAATATCTCAGCCATAACACAGGATACATTCATTTCACAACCTGATACGGTCATTATTCGCAGATGTGTGTTCCCCTGTTACTTTCTACAAACTGTAGAGTGAAGCTTTTGTCGTGATTGTTGTTGCTGAATGGGATGAATCATTTGAATAATGAATAATAACTCATTTAGCTTGAAACTATTTCTTTTGGAAATTGTTACCTTTGGCCATTGAATTCCACCACTTTTCCAAGCTCATTAATATCATCGACTCCAGTTTTAATAACGAACTCATTCTCTGATGTCCCATTCTCCTGAATGTTAAAATATAAAAAAAACGCTTGTCAGGATATCGTGGAGAAAAACATTTCCTAACAATCACACACCAATACACAGTCGATATCTCACTCAATTCTTACCACAGAATATTCAAATAACAGTGACTTAACAAGAAGACTTTGTGTCGAAGAGAGAGTATTCAATTGGATGGTGGTAGCGAAACGCTTGTCTACTGAATACCTTCAACAGTCACTTGTAGTTCGACAGTAAGAACATGTTGTACGCTGTATCCTACCTAGTCTTTCTTCGAATTCGTCAAGACGTGAGGTGACAGTTTATTTCCGTGGACGATCATCAGCCAAGTCCGAATTGCCCGGCTGATTAGAGAATGTGCACGACTGAATGCCATGAGAGGGCTTATTTTTATTACCACAAAGACTACCATTATTATTACAATTATTACTGTTGTTATTATCATAGCCATTCTTTCAGCATTTTACTAACATCAGATTGAGAAATATGTGAAATTTCAAAACATTTTTCTTTAACTCGCTGGTCAACTTACTGTGTGTCAGAAGTTCAGACACTTCAGTTCCGTCTAAACATCCTTCGGATGTAGGTGTTTGTGAAGAGATCGCGGAGATTAGATTTTATGACCTGTGATAGTGATTTCGGAACACTGTAGAATAGTTAGAGTAGACAGTGAAAATTAACATCCCACTGAATTTCATCTTTTTGAATCTCGCAGTTTACTGGCTGAAATATCTGTGTTTTAACATTGTCAAAGTGAAGATAGACGATCCTTTCAACGACTTATTTACCAATACAGGTGGTTCATCATCACTGACGAAGCATATACTCTGACTGAGAAGTATTCACCATCTCAGCGAATCTCTGCCTTCGCCTGGCAGAAACACGTGAATTATATTTCTCAGCACCGAAATAAAAGCAAAAGTATTCACAAGCTTGTTCAGTCTCCAAAGTCGACTGATTTCTAACACGTGGTAACTCCAACTGCCTTTATGAATTCACTGTTCGTGCCCCATGAAGTACATAATGAAGGACTGAGAGGTGGTTGTCTACTGGGATTATTGGAATCCTGCCATGATATCCGCGTATTAGAGTTTCAGCCTGACTTATTAATGCACCTAGGTGATGCAATGCACTAGATCAATTTGCAAGTACCTTTCAAGGTGATAAACAGACAAGACGCAGCACCAGTACCCCAAACTACTAGAGGTGGCGATATTGGAGGAATGAACCCTGAATTTAGTGTTCAGAAAGCGACTAATACGAGGCAATAATAGTATTGCCTTGATAAGCATCGACTGCTTCATTTCAACCCTCCGAAATTTCAGCTCTCTTTCATTAAACAACTTGGTGCTTACATCCGTATGCTTTTATAGTGATTAATATCCTTGCTAGTCTTTGTTGTCATTAATATCCTCCAGTTCGTTTGAGCAGCTATTCACACTCACCAATCGACTGTGTGCATATTTTAACGGATTCGAGTACACTGAACAAAGTATTGTATAATATATATTATAGACCGTACAGGTTAGCGTATCATCACTTAAATTAAATTAATGCAGTTTACTGGCTTTGACATGTAATTTCTATATGATCCGTTTTCATATATATTTATATGTACTCACTCAGATATTACCTGGTACGGCGCAAACGATTTACTTATTCCTATTTTGCAGCAGGTTGAAAAATTCACATGTGTGTTACGATGTGCGAAGACTAACGTTTATGAAACTATGTTTTCCGAGAATATTTGTTAATGAACAGCACAAAAATTCAAGGCGTTTTTTCAGTTTACGAAAGTTAGATTCTGTGGGTCATTCCAAACCCAGATGTGAAATATAATTTAAATACATAGAGATACACGGGCAACCAGTGATGTTTTTCTTTTTACCATGTAAACATCCGAATTCGAAATGCACTCAGTGGAATAAAACGTTGTATTTAGGCTACAATGCTAGCCACTACCGCTGTCATGAATCCTTCGTATCACTTTGTTAATAGAATTGCCTCCCAAGTTATATTAGCTCCATATTTGCTTGTTCTTAACCTACAAGCTACTTAATATGGAGATTTATCACTGTAATCAGTTTAGTCTCCACAATTATAAACATAATTTTGCAATCGCTATTTGTTTGATTAACAAAACATGCATTTTTCATACATTGAAGTTATGTCCCAATATTGACGGCTAATTGTTTGCCTACTCCTAATAACAAACTATAGATTTTGATTAACACAATATTTACTAAGCTGCAGCTTGTTTTAGTGAATTTTCTCATATCGCTTGAGCATTTAAACATTTTACACAAAATAGACAAGTATAATACCAACTTGTTACACAATTTAAACACATCAAACGTCAGCTTAATTTTAATTTAACTCACAGTGACAAAAACGGATATTTTTGAATTCGGACAGATGCGCATGAGACCACATGCTTTTATAAGACCGTATGAGTAGCCCCAAATTATTTCGTAAGGCGTTCGTGTAATAAATGGGGCAGAGTTGATAAATTGTGTAATAGCACTACTTTTTAACGTCATAGCCTACAAACAGGAAGATTTAAGTATTCTTAACAGAAAATCCCAGAATAAACCAGGCGTTTGAAAATACTTTGATTAATATATGAAAAATGAGCGAATCTATGTTGAAAAGTGTCAGTCATACCTAAGATGTGAAACCCTGATCAATATTTGGACTCTCGATTCTACTACAGACATCAAATTCATAGCCTCACAAAGTAATGTCCTGCAATTATTGCCTTTTATTTCGACATGGATTTCTCCTGATAAGTAGGTTCTTCAGAGAACATAACGAAAACCTTTCAGAAATTACTGCAAAATGTTTATCATATTGAAAGGTCATGTTTCAGCTTTTCTTTCAAACATCTATTTGTAAGTGGAGTAAATCAGGAAAATACCTAACGAGCATATATCATGTTGAAATCCACTTTATTCTAAGGTGAGGTGACTACAGATAAATAGCGATGCACTGTTACGTTCGGTGAAGAAAATACACGCCTGTATGAAAGTGTATCGAAAAAATTGACTACTGGATTGGTAACTCACCCTGTATTTGTATCACAGAAATGACTGAGAATTGTAAACTGTAAGATATGAAAATATTTCATTACTTACTGCTGTAAAAATATCCAAAGAAGTTACTTTGCCGACAAATGGGTCCACAGACATTTCATCATGAACTTGAAAATAGTACGTAATGGCTTTGTATTGAAGATATCTTGGAGGCGATTCGCCAGAAAATTTCACATCTTTCTTAAATGTTTGCTTCCTGTTCAATTCATTGTTATATTTAAAAAACACATTTGGACGATAAAAGGTTATTTCTATCAAACCATCACAGCTAATAAACGTGTTTGAAAAATTTAGCTGCCAATCTTCGATATCATACAAATATAAATCAGCAAGCCGTATTGATTCCAAAGGCTAAACGTTTGTTTTCAGCTAGCCATCGTTAAGTACTCTACTCTTACGATAATCATGACCGTTGCCTTATCTATCTTCTGTTAATTACGAGTCAAGTTATTGAGAATCATCAGTAATCAAAATGTGAACGGATAGTGTAAACATATATTTTTTTCATTAATACTAACATTTTCATTACTTGTTACAGATCTTGCGGTCACTCAGAATTTATGGCATTCTGATGAATACATCTGAATACCTGCAAAGCACCAAGAAGATGCTTTAGACAGTTTGACGAATCCGTAATTTATCTTTGTCAATTTTTAGCTAGAGAATTCCTGAAAACATAAGTATATGCATTCGCACACAACTAAGAGGCGTATAGTTTATGAATGAAAAGTAGCGTTAGGAGAAATAGGATTTAAAAGCCAACAATTCTGAAAGAAAAGGTGTTTGCTTTAGATGACAATGGTTCAGTGTTAAGTTAATTATATTCTTGCTGTCATACATTTGTGATATCATGGAACGAAACGCGTTGGTATGTAGGCGATGCCCCTTCTAAAATCCGGTTGTTCATTTGCTTTATCTGTTCACTTGCAAAAAGATCCACTAGCGCTACACACAATCATAGAACTGTGATGCTTCTACCGTGAAGGAGTTCGTGTTGCATCGAACAGGTTATCTTTTTTTAAATTTTGCAAAATAACTTCGACATAAGACTATGGTAACAATGGTGTGCACTATGAGTGCATGACACCATATGGTGGGTAAATAAGAACAGCTGAACACTCACAAGCAATTTTATTGTTTTCATCAACGAATAATTAAATGCAGAGCACATATAGTAATCTACTAATTCTATTTCGAGAAAACGTAAAAACTGGGAATAAAAGTTTTGTCGTTATTCGTGACTGCTCACTAATGGTTGAAGCCACTGTCTTGATAAAGTTATAATGCAGTAATTAGATAAGAACTGGACACAATATAAAAAAAATTGTCACTTCAAAATATAAACTGTCGGCACCTATTAACATAGATAAGTATACATCTACCAACGTTCCTTAAAACACCTAGAGGTCATGAATCCATATTACGGCTGCAAAATATCCATTCCATATAAATAGAGCTTAATGTTCAACTGCCATCAGATTCTGATAGATCTAATGAATGGCAATGTCTTCACACCAGAACCCGACAGTAGAAGGTTCCACCATCTGTAAAGATGTGAGTGCACTGTGCAAAATGAAAAACAAGGAGAAAACAGCAGGCGAGTGTTTCTTTGATTCCAGTGGTTCTCTAAATGACAATAGTACATAAAATAGTTCATCTTCAGATCAATCGAATACTCACAAACGCAACAACTGAAAACCAGTATTCGATTATTGAAAGAACTAGTTATCAGTGTAGGTCATTAGTGTGCTGTTTAATCTGAGCCTCAGTACTAAACTGAAAAATTAAAATTAATATGTCAAAGAGGTTTTTTATGCCCTTTCTATACGATGTATCTAGAAGGTTTAAATCCATCCCAGACATAAAACAGTGACAAAACTGTAGACTGAAAAACTGTTTACGGAACAGTTTCAGAGAATCACTATTCACTATAGATCCCTCTTACTCTTACTCCTATTTCCAAATTAGAAAATATCTGAGGCGCTCGACTGATATCTTAGCACACAAAGAATCATTAGAGAGCGTTCGAACTAATTATAACCCACTTACTAGCTCAAATTAGTAAAGTGTTTATCAATTGATATAGGTTGATAAAAATAATCGAATAGCTCACTTATAACGAAACGGTCCAACTTCCGTGAAAACTGGTCTGGCCCCATTGAGAACGGCTTTCTCGTTGGTTAAGTTGTAAAGGTAAAGCGATGTGTTAAGTGCTGTATTGTTCCCGCTGAAATTTTCAAATAAAAGACTACCAGGGACGAGGGTGAAGAACTAGAAAGAAGACAAGAGTCAAAAACAATGCGTAGGTTTCAGGAAAATTTAAATAAAAGACATTGTTAATTTTATGTTTTGTGAAGAGCTGTGTGTTGAGGACGTTTTCACCTGAGAGTGTTTGCTCCTTGAGAATTAAATGGCCGAATATCCTATGATTTACTGATGAAACGTCAAAAAAGTTTTGTGTTCAACTGTTTTTTGTCAGAATCGTCGTCATGACCATAGGAAGGATAGTCTCGTATCTCCTGAACTCAAGCAAGTTCCATCGTAAATGAATAACCACTATATGCATATATATTTAGTCCATTAAGGGAGTTTGAATGTTCAAATTTTCAATCGTTTTTGGCAGACAATAGTTCCTTAGGATTCACTATCGCTAAGAGGTTTCCCGAAATCACCGTTCAAGCATTTCTGTTTAAATATTCCATGGTTTCGTGAAAATAAAATGTGGAAAAGTTTCAGTACTCCCCCAATGTTGATTTCAGAGGAACTGATTTAATCTATCCGGATGGTTTTAAGAGGGGGTATCAGTTGATCAGTGCAAACTATGTCGGCTGATGATACGTTCGAAAATTATTCATATAGTTATCTCGCTCACAAAATTAACATGAAATAGATCAACAACTTACGCGTGCAATAAAAGCTGTGTGAATCTGATCGACGTAGAAGTGTGAAACTACACAACCAATGAATAATACAAGGGATATCGTACTGATGATGAGTACTAAATCCTCACACTGTCTTCCCTGGAGCATCACTATTTCTTTGTGTGGTGTGTAGGTTAAGGCTGGTTTCCTTCTTGGTAGGTATCGATGGATGCTGATGATGAAAAGAATTGCTTAATTAAGCGAAATTATCTAAAAATTTTTTAAACGATTCACTCGACATTCGTATAGAAAAGAACAATGAATACACTTCCACATTGGCCTAATTTTCTGATATTTTCATCAACATTTCAGAAATCCGTTTGGATCTTCTCATCATCAGCAGCAGTCATTGTGGTTCTGGTGAAAATTTAGAGAATAGCGGAGTATTATTCGGTTAAATGTAATCAAATCACTCGTAGAATGCGTTTTGGCAAATGGACTTTGTATTTAAATGATACTGACCCCATATATCTGTACATATTTTACGCATTCCATTAGTCTGTGCTCCGTTTTAATGACTGTTCTATGTGTACTGCAGCATCTTGGTGGTTTACGTATGTTGTTTTTGAATTGCATTTGTTTATACTATGCATGTGTCACTCATTGAATTTTTTTCAAATTGTTCTGATTTGCTAGTCAACAAACGATTTATGACATGTTCTACCTTCCCTAACATTTCATTCAAATTAATGTATATTTAACCGACCACTGCACACCAAATGCAAGTTTGTGTGATCACCACTTTGTATGTATTCATTACACTGTCCACCAATAGACCACACATTTATTGTCTGCCGGAAATTAGAAAAAAATATTTGTATGTTATTCGTGACTTTTTCAGTAATTACGCAAAGGCTGATCAGTTTCTATGCATTCAAAATTACTCATTTAAACACCTATTCGTTAGCGCTTATTTTTCACTTATATTTAAAACTGTTTTCAAAAATCAAGGTTAGATGTACACACAAACATTTCATTGATTTAAATTACCCTGTGGAAATTATCACGCTTGTTCAGAGTTCACCGAACAACCTGGGAATATCTGTAAATTATGGATGAATAATAGGAGGTAGGCTTGAATCTACTGTATAGAAAGTTAGGATACTTTGGATTGCTAGTGAAGCTTGCACTCAGTAGGATACCGAAACACTTACCACAGAGGTTAAATATAGAAGATCCCAATAAACACAACCACTGATTCTGTATCACAGTTCACATATTGTGGAGTAATCATATAAGCGGTGTGAAGAATAACTGATAATTCGTATATAAATTGAGTTACTGAAGTAGTGACTTTGTAAACCTTGAACATCTATGGTGAATGAAGCACACTTCATGCATGTCAACCAGCCGTTCTACTTGGTGTTACGAATATATTACGTGAACTAAAGCTAAATATAATGAAGAAATGACAGAGAATTTTAAAATAATTAACATCTCGGTTAAAAAATAAATTTTGTTCACTATTTCTTACTTTCTCAACAGAACTTCTATAAACACTTATTCTACTCTACTGAAACGGTTGTTTACTCACACTACCAATAACAAGCATACACACATTTCACACATGATAATTTTTAATGAATTATCCAATCACACAAACAGATACCAACTCACTGTTTCGCATTCTCATTTTGGTTAACACAAAGCTTCCAAACTTTCTTTCAAAAGGAGAAATTCTCATGTATATGCAGAAACACTATTTACAGTCTAAAGTCCTGTCTACACAAAATTTGGCGGTCATTTAAGTTACGTGAATTTCAATATAAAGTGACAAAGGTCGAATGAATTGTCAAATTTAAATATTCAATGATAAGACATCATTTTTATACTGACTGTGATTGTCCATTAAATATCTAGAACATTTTAGGGTGTGTATTTGATATACTTACCAACTTTATTTACCTACCCGTATGCAGCACATTCCAATGAAAAAGATAGGATGAAAAATGATTCATTAAAAATAAATTACAAATAGAGTGAACAGAGTTTGTTTATCCTCTGATTTTGAAATATCTGATTACCAATACCTAACAATTTAGCATTCGACGACTGGAACTTGATTTAATACGTGGGTGAAACTCATCTGATATATAGGCTGAAACCATTGTTGTCTTCTCGACTGAGTGTCTGAAGAAAAACTTGGTTATTGATCTGATAGAGTAACACGGAATCTTTCTATTCTTTTCCCAATTCAAATTTTATTTATCGGAAAAATGATTGAGTAAAATGTCTAAAATATTTAAGCGTGATATCCCTTAGTGCCAGATTGTCATAGTCCAATATGACCCAAAATATTTTTCAAGAAAATAATAATCATTTGCCTTATTCCCAAACGGCAATTATGATACAGTGTAGAATTCTTAACATTTGGTACAATGTGGAATCTAATTTGCTAAACAATAGCAAAAGCGAAAATAAAAATAATATTACAGGACTGATAATAGCAGTTATTTTTGGTATTGAGAGTGGCGATAAAGTCAAAAATCTACAAAAAATTTGAAATAAGAATTATGTTAATAGCTGAAATTACAAGTTAATTAAAATAGTGTCACTACAGAATACAAATAGTAAGTCAAAGGCTTCACGCCTGACATTACCTTTGTCACATAGAATACGAGCCAAATATGGTATCATTGAGTTCCTGTATTTGCTTGTACGAGTATGTAATCTTTCTTGATGATTTCTGTTCCTACCTGATGAGATGCAAGAGGAGAATTGCGAACGGATGGCGTGTTTAGGGTTAGACAATGTGGATTTGGACCATTTCTCACATGAGTTCAGCTGCCTATCATCTACAGTACTAACAAGCTGACTAAAAGTCAAAGGACGAAGTTACCTGGAGATCTAGTGAGAATTCATGGCCAGTGGGGTTCATCCAGTCGGGAGTGACGACAAATACTTGTCGACGATATTGGCTGGTGGTCGCACTAAAATCACCAATTGGCAGAAGTTAGAATTCATGGGTTATTAAGTTGAGTCCCAGTGTTTGAATAGTCTACAAGCTTTACTTGGAACCGGGAAGCTCAGGGTTCGAACAGTGGTGGGTGCGTACCAATGATGAGTCCCAAACCGGAACAAAAGAGCTGTCTTATACTCCGTGGTTACTAATGGTTCTCTTATTGATATCAAGTAATGTGATACCTACAATCATTTTAATTTCTAAAGGAAATTCATTTATAGAAACCAACAGTCGCAGAGTAAATTTTTCAAGAAGTCAAAAGAATATCTCTATCCATCAAATGATGACTGCATTTTTCCCTTTTTTCGGCTCATGACAGCGATCTTTAGTGATATTTATTTTTCAAACCATTCAGTGACTCACAACAAGACAAATTCTTCTTCAAACGCTGAGATTTAGCACCATGAAGTTTGTTTACTAATTTAGTGAGCTATTAGGTGAATCTGACATGAAAGAGACAACAGTGGTTAAACCACTGATTCCATTATTTATTGGTTCGCGATCCTGCCAGTTTACAGTAAAACAGTTTTGCTTAAAATATCTCAGTGCTCTATGCAATATTCTTAAACATTTAAATTACAAAAAGCCAGTGACTACTAACCGTAATTTTTATTACTATCACATTTTATCACGATAATGTCACTTAAATTTAGGCTAACAGACAGTTCATTCAGTGGTGATGACGTAAGATGAATAGTAAACTGACGTACATATAGCTTCCATTTCACTCCTAAATAAAATCATGAAACCACACTTAATTCACTTACTTCCAATGGCATACACTGAAACACAGCAATAACCATTTCGTATACGTAGATGTGAAATAATATTTGGTCATCTTTTCTTAAGACATGATTGACACAGTTTCCAGAAGTGTACTTCAAACTTTAGAATGGCTGAAATGATCCTTGAAAAATCTGATTATCAGATTATTACTCTTCGGTTTCCAAACTGAATTATGTACTAACTGAACAAACTAATATGGAAAGCACAAAATTTAAAACACATGTTAGAAAAAGTGTTTTCATGACACCCTTCATCTCCTTCTGACCGTTCCCAGACAATCGCTGTAAAACGCTGGATTTAGGCTTCATGCACATTATAAATTTGACTGTTATAACTTGAACAGCACTTAGAACTGGATAACGCTCAATCTTGAATAAATATGAAAATTGACTGATTATTTTCTTATCCTGAAAAATCGTTGATCTTGACAAGCTTAGCAGAAATACTATACGTGACCGCGTACACCAGGGACGCATTGCTTTGAAAAAGTGAAATGCTCTATTACTAAAAGGTCATATATATTTTTAGCTTTTATACAGTATACAATAGTTAGAAAATATATCTGTCTGTATGTTCCGGAAAACTAGTGTCATGAGTTCGAAGGAAACTGAATAAGAAGAAATTGCCGTATGTTTAAGTTTTTTAATAATAATAATAACAGCTTTATTCCAAGCAGTATTTCTGGTACAGGTATGGAATTTTCAGCGTGCATTACAATATATTGCATCTAATTACCTCACAAAAATTTTATAAGATTTTTAAAATCAAAAATAAATTAATTAAAAGACCAACGCCAAAAAAAAGATTAAAAAAACAAAAAAAAAACAGCGTAGCGTCTACATTTCAAACAACGCACCACAGGATATGAAATATAAAGTTGATGTGTGATAGAAGATAAGAACAACAGTGTAATAGTAACGAAGAAAGGAAAACAAAAACTAATGGGACTATTTGTTAGAGTGCCGCAGTAAGTTTATCGCGTCATACCTAACGGATTACTCATCACATACCAGCTGTGCCAGATATGGTATTGTGGAGTTTTGTATTTGGTAGTCCTAGCATATAGCCTCCTATAGCTGCTTCTAGGTATACTAGATGAAATGCAAGGAGAGAGCTGCATATAGAGAGGATGCTCGGGGTCTGACATCATTGTATTCGCTAGTTTCTTACATGACATTATATGTCTATCCACAATAGTGTTAACCAGTTGGTTTAACGATATCCCACTTGCCCTACTAACGGCTTTTAGTGCCCTTCCGAGAAAAGCAAAGTCTTTCTTAAGTAGTCCAGGAAAGATTAATGGGGAGCAGTAAAGGAGGATGGGTAGAATACAAGAATTGACAAACTGAGAAAGCAAAGACTGCTTTATCCCAGATTGCTTAAATTTCCTAACGTAGAACGTTAAGCGAAACATCTTTCTAGTAACTAGCAAGATGTGGGAGGACCAGGAAAGATCGGTGGGAAAACTCAGCCCAAGGTACTTGACATTAGATGTATTTTCAACCTCTGTGCCGTCAATGAGAGTAGGGCCATGTGAGCTAACTAGTTGCTGTAGGTCACTTTTACGTCTGAAAGTGAAATTGACTACCTGACATTTAGACGGATTTAGCTTAAGACCATTTGAAGAGGACCAATGACTAATTTCTGACAGAAAGTTATTTAATTTGGAGCAATCTGACTGCGAGCTGACAGGCATAGAAACAGAGAGGTCATCGGCATACTTAACAAAAGTGGTTACATCAGAATGAGGCAAGTCATGTAAGAAAAACGAAAACAGAAAGTGAGAAAGAACAGCACCTTGAGGAACACCAGCTAAAGTGAGTGAGGTAGTGGAGGACTTTCCATTGTGGACGATGTACCGCTTTCTATCAGAAAAATAGGAATGCAACCACTTATTTATCCAGCTCTCAGCCTGTGTTGCAGCAAGCTTACTTAGCAAGAGAGACCTGGGAACAGAAAAGTTAGACACAAATAATCCCTCAGCTGGTTTGCACGCACTACATTAAAGACATGATTGCATGGAGGATTTCATCATGAGCTGACATCAGTTAGGGGACCACTAGAAAACCTGGGAGTACTGGACGGATGCTTCGTCCCAGATCGGGACTCTTCATCATCACGCACCCACCGGGTTTCGAACCCAGGACCTTCTGTTTACAAGGCGAGCTCGTAGACCATTGAGCCACTAGGTCCCGATCCAATAGTCGTTGAATTCTAAAATCTGCCAATTCACGACATAGAGCGACCATTTCGCAATGTCTTCTTCGATGAGTTACTGACTCATCTTCAACCTGCTGTACCTTAGTGGTCACGGCTTCCCACTAGAACAAAAAAATCCCTAGAAAACCAGTACCTGAAAGACATAATTATCTTCGTTACGACCAGTGACAGCATATGGAATTATTTATTAGGCATATTGAAAGAAAATGTGAACAAAATGTTTAGAATAACATTTAACCCAGTTTATGCAAATAATATCTGCTTTCTGCATGACAAATAGGTTGTCTTCCAGTTTCCATCCCTTCTCCGCCTTTCTTCTCTATTCACTTTTAATACTTCTAATTTATCGGTTAAGAATATTTGCCAGTTGAATGCTAGGTCTGTTAACTTCTGAGAGGACACATGACAGTGTATTCCTTGTCTCTATTCTTCTAAGTAGTATCCACCACATCAAAAACCTTTAAAATAACTGCAAATACAAATGCACACCTAGACGACGAATTTTTATGAAAATAAAGACAAACTAGAATTTGGTAAGAGAAACAATGAACTGACTAATCAGCTTATCCGCTGCTTCTAAATATGTAACAGTGTTTTGAAAAAAGTAACAGTGAATTATACCATCATTATTACAGGTACAAAAGCCCTCCAATAAAACTAAATCATATTAAACTTAAAACTGCTAAAAAGTTATATGATTTAAGAAGTCACTAAATTTTATTAACTTAGCTGTTTCTATTCCCCTCTCACTTATTCCTGTTTGCATCAAGGGAAGAACATGACTGATGTCATATTATGTACATCCGCTTTTTTAAAATACATATAATAGGTAAACGTGAAATAATTGCTAGTGATAGTGGTTGCAACAGCATCAGCAGTGTTAATATTAGTAAACTAGTAACAGTGGAAATGTAAAGAATGAATGGGAAACGAAGAAATAACACAACGGTCACTATACTTAAAACTATTAACTTGCCTTTGTTGGTGTCACTCATACACACACACTCATAAAACAGGCACACGACTCTGTATTATTACTGTGTATACACTCTCTTATCCATATACACATCTACCAAAATACAGACATACATTAGGCATTGTGAGTATGGGCGTTGACTTCATATATATATTAGAGCAAACGCTATAATTTGGGTTTTGTTTTGTAGAAATCATTCATACCTTTCTAAGGCATTCATCTGGTCGCTGTATATGATGTTTGTTGCTGCGTCATTAGCAACCGGCAAGGTTATGTTAAGAATGTGTTAAGAAAACCATAACACAGAATTAAGAATAAATGAACAGGAGGGTAAACGATCTCTTTACCCATAAAACTAAAAGTCTTCTAAAGAAAAAAACCAGTCTAGTGAGTAGACATTCACTGGTGAACGGTATTTATACCAGATCGAAATATTCCCATCATTTGTTATATTCAGTGATTATTGGAATAATACTAATACATGACCGATGTCTAATGAAACGCGCTATTCTCTTCTACTGAAATGTCGCCAACAAAAAGAACACTCAACTCAATCTTGTAATTTAACTCCAAATATCAACAAAAGGATCAATTACTTTTTCCCAACAGACCATCGAGTAAGTGTTTAATGGCAGTAAAATCTTGGCACTTTGAAGTGTTTGTTTGACATGCTCATTTCCCATTTTTATTGATCTGTTTTTTACACCCTAAGAAAGTAGAAATCAGTTGAATTCTCCTCAACAGTTTAGATAGTAACCTTTATCAATAACTGTTAAAGACAGGTAGTGAGTGTACTAGGTCTTTTGTGGCTTACCGTAAGCATATTGTCTTGTTCAAGACAAATTATTCTTTAACCTAAGTGTGAGTAACTGATATTTATCACTCAGAAAGTTGGTATAGAAAACTACCTGTCAAGATCTTGGTGTCATTAGCATATCAGAAATATTATATTGGGATTAGAATATTTTTACTAAATAGAAACTAATGATTTCTTGTTAGACTACTTTTATCTTCTTAAAACGCTTGACACAATTTGAAAAACATCATTATACAAAACAAAACGTTAAACTCTTAATAGATGAATCATTTTTCCCACCATATCAACATTTTCGAAAGCGTATTCTTTCGGATAAATTACTGAAGCAGAACGGGAAAAAATTTTATGCAAACTGAATGTTTGAAAGAGGAGAGTAAACCACAAGTCCACATAAAAATTTAATGCGTTATAGCTTTTTCTTTTGTTGAATTAATAGAGGCCGAAGTCACCGCTGTAAATTAGGAAGCATCGATTAGCTATTTATTCAACGTTTGAAAATCATAAACTATCAAAACCCTTGTTATTATGAAGCATAGAGGCCATTAACTTGAAGAATAATGTCAGTTATCGCTGATCACTAATGAATTTTTAATATCCTGTAAAACAGTAGTGGTTTGAAAGCCTAGCTTTTAGCATTGACAAGAACCGTAAGATTTGTGCCCGATGGCACTAAAATGTCACTGTTTGATGCAATGAGTTATCTATTGTGAGCGTCATATCATGTCCAATGATATAGTAGACTATGACAACAAAACAAGTATGTCTCAAGAAACTAAGCGTCATTACACGATCCAAATAAGTAATTATTCAAACCCACCTTAAACCTAAACTGCACTACTCACCTAAGATGCAAAGAAATACTGACAAGACTATTATTACTATAGGACAAATCAGATCCTCATCTCACTTCTACCCACCCCTAAAACAATTGTGCAGACTAGTGATGCTATCTCAGCCCTGACTGCATAGAAAACAAAATAATGTTGTGGATATGCAAACCAATTTGTAACTGATTTTCATTTTCATAAGCACTTAACAAGACTATTCTGTGCAATGTTCAACTGTATAACACTTTTTATCATTTAAAATCATTTTCATGCTTGTTAGATTTAAATAATATTTTCTCCCGTTTTGGAGACATCCGAAGGACTTTTCTGCTTTTTAATAGCTGAATACTCCTAGACTTCGAAAAGTGAAACAGAAAAATTCAAAAGTGATATAAGATATAAAATTATGTTCCCACTATTTATCAGAGGGCTTGAAAAATTTCCCATTCACTTTCAAGGCGAATAAGACTTATGAGTATTCCCTCCTATCTAGGTGGGCCAGTCCTTATTTGAGAATTATCCAAAACTATCACTTGTAACTTTCGTAAATCAAACTGATAAAACGATTCTCATGCAAATGGAATCTTCAAATAAATTTCTCTTCATATGTCCTGCTACTTATTAACTACAAAATGATATAAAGTTATTCTGTTTTTCATGACGATGACTCTTCACAATTTGACGCTTGATCTTAATTTATTGACAGAATTTGAATAAGGCATTAAGAAGACAAATTTCGCGAGATGATATCATTTCGTAGTTTCTTTACAACCGCTTTACAACTAACATGGTCAACAATAATAATAAAATAAAGTTCATGACACTTACTCATTTATATAAAAAACAAAAGTACATACTAATGATCAATCATATTTAGATAGGTCATGTAGTCCATGGTAGGCGAAGATTGAAGTCTATTGATTTTTGTACACACAGTTTAGGCTGTATGTGATTAATCCAAAGTGCTTCCATCACTTCAATAACCTTGAATTAGAGTTATGTGAAATAATCGTGAAACGGTCATTAATACTGATTTTGTGACCAGACATTAATAAGTGTTTTGCAATGGATGATGCTGGATTTCTACTAAGATTAATCGCGTTAGGATTTTCGATATGATTTACTAGCCATTTTGGAACATGTTCTTTTCGACGACATTGGAACATTCTGTTAGTTCTACCTATATAGGTGTCACCGCAGCTGCAGGTGAACTTGTAGATACAGTTTGAAGTAGAGTCCACAGAATTTCGTCCTTTAATCGTAGGTACAGGAATCGAAAATGTTCGGCAAGTTAGAAAAAGAGATGCGGCGTAGAATGTGCGTTTGATGGCTGACCGAAGTCTTTGAGCTGTCAACTGCATTAATCTTAGTAGAAATCCAGCATCATCCATTGCAAAACACTTATTAATGTCTGGTCACAAAATCAGTATTAATGACCGTTTCACGATTATTTCACATAACTCTAATTCAAGGTTATTGAAAGTGATGGAAGCACTTTGGATTAATCACATACAGCCTAAACTGTGTGTACAAAAATCAATAGACTTCAATCTTCGCCTACCATGGACTACATGACCTATCTAAATATGATTGATCATTAGTATGTACTTTTGTTTTTTATATAAATGAGTAATTTTCATGAACTTTATTTTATTATTATTGTTGACCATGTTAGTTGTAAAGCGGTTGTAAAGAAACTACGAAATGATATCATCTCGCGAAATTTGTCTTCTTAATGCCTTATTCAAATTTATCAAAGGGACTAATTGTTTTAATTACTGACAGAAGTAAATACACTGGTCTATCGATAAAACCTCATGAAGAACTATAAGTGAAAACTCAGATCTGTCAATGATTATTTGATCCATTTGTTTCTATACTCTAGATGTTACATATAAAAACATGTACAGGTCTTCAGCTTCTCGTTTTTTATTTGATGCACGACATCACACCTGGTTTCTAGATAATATTACAAATACACCTGGGAAGCGTAGATTTAAACTGTTTTAATTGTGTATTATATAAACATTCAGTTATGCTGCTTATTTCATCCTTCAGCGTTACACATTATGATTCCGCTTGATAGCTTGTTCACTACTTGCAAGACTTCATGGTTGCTTGTCATTTCTGGTTAGTCATCTGATCCCTAATGTTGATGAAAATGTCCTGTGTACTTGTTGTATTAATTAATTTTATTAATAATAATCAAGAATAATAGCTACATTTTGGATAGTGTTTATATCATGTACAGAATTTTTGGAGGAGTTTATTGCATGATATTTTCTCTTCGAGCAATATCTTCAGATACGATATTGATAGCAGACCCTATAACGCAATACTGGTTGACTTGAAAGCGCAAACAAATCCATCCTGATATTTTTTCTTCTTCCTCCCTTAGAAAAATCCATGACAGTGAGTTGAAAGCCAACTGTAACACGTTCAAGGGTACATTTTGAGACCCAAGGGCGTAACACAGGGACAGTTACCTTATGTATTAATGTACGCTGCCCACAAGAATTTTGCTTTTTCTCAAGTTTGGTAGAAACTGGCAAATCGACAGGTTTTAAACACTTTAAATACTCGTGAGGGTCAATAGTACTATTAGAGTTCATACGTTAATCAACTAAAACAAAATGAACAGGAGAAATTATTTGCAATATAGTGACAGAGGTTTTTGGTAACCCGACGCGTCAAGTCTCTAAACCATATGGAATCACTGACATAAAATGAGTGTTAAAAACTTTGATGTTGTATGTTATACTGTGTGCTACAGATCTCGACGAGGACTTTGTAGTAATGAACATTTGCCTTAGCTTTGATATTCTCATTCATGCTGCACTAATTTAAAACACTTGTAAATTAACTGCGAATACCCTTAAGTATTTATGTGAGCATTAAATCAATATAGGATTTTGTGATAACCATTCACCTAACTTGATAGTCAAGTCATGATACTTTCGCTAAACACATTAGAATAGACTTTGGAAAAAACTCGCTGAAAAACTACAGAAGTAAGGATGTTAAATAAAACAATACTAAGTAAAAATACCCGTTAACCATTATCTCTTATTTAGTCAGAATTTCAATTAAGTATTCAGCCATGCTTCTACGTATACCTAAATTATTGAATAAACTGAAAGTGGGTAGATTTTGTTTGTTTCAGAAGTTGTCATGCAGTGCAAGTATAACTCAATGTAGACTTCTAAAACAAAATTCTGAATACTGCTGGTGATCATTATTTCAGATGTGTTTGCAACTGACAGATGTTCCGCATGATAGCCACAAAATGTCTGCAGTAGATGTGTGTGACCAAATTATATGAATGATGTTTCTACGTCTGTTTTTGAAATTTAGTAATGAGTGCTCAATTAGCAGCTTAGTATGAGTGTTTTACAAGTCACGGCTAATTCAATTTTTTTTTCTGCTAACCTCTTATTCTTCGTTTTTCTCAATGCACTCAACGAGGCAAGCTAAACAATAAACATAGTCGATCGAAATACTCTTTTGAAAGCTCATTCAAATCAAGTGCTCATCCTCCATCATAAAATTCTGTTATATAGTATTCAGTTTAAGATATAGCAAATGACTGCCATTTTTCAGATGGTAAAGCTGACCCCCTTAGTTGATTATTTAATTATACATCATTTTTGTCGCTTTACAAAATGGAAATAAACAATGCTGTGAAGAAGCTTATGAAAAGGTACACTGTCAACATTTTTACCTTCCGCAGAGTTCAAGGCAGCTTTACTGCATCCTCTCAAAAATATGGAAACTATCTATATAAAAATTTCATAATGCAGGTTGATTCCCCTATTGTTCACCCTGAAAATTAAAACTGGAAAGTAGGAATAGGATTTCCAGGATGGTAGGACATCGGTCATTTCTTCATCGCATGTTGTCTAAGCAAACAACAACTACTTGATGATGACATTCATGTTAATTTCGGCACTTATTCAGGTGTCTCTAATCCACA